GGCTAGTTTATAAAATATTGTTTCCCAGTGGTGCTGTCCTCCATGTGTATGCTGACCCTACCCACTCCCTCTTCCTCCCTCCCTCCTGACGTTTTTTGTACTGGGTGTTGAGGCCATGGTCTCGTCTACATCCAGCCCCGCCTTTTCTTTTCTTTTTGGAGACAGTCTTGCCAAGTCACCAGGTTTCCCAGTCTGGTCTTGAACTTGTGATCCTCCTGCTTCAGATTCCCAGAATGGTAGAGTTATAGGCATGTCATGTTTTTAAAGTTTGTCCTATTAGGGAAAGCCTGTGGTTCTTAGCTTTCTGAGTCTAGCTTATTTTGCTTAGTGTGAACAGATTAAAGAGAGCCTGCAGGATGAGGGGAGATCTTAGCCAGCTACTTTTCCATCACAGGGTTAATGCTTAGATTGCAGAAGGAGCTCAAAAACAACCTGATCAATAAGTGGGCAAATGAATTGGACATTTCTCAACAGAAGTACAAATGGCCAGTAAGTAGATAAAAAGATGTTCATCTTTATCCAGTAGGGAAGTGCAGATGAAAACTGCATTGAGATTTCATCCCATCCCAGCCAGAGTAGCTGTCGTCAGGAATCCAAAAACAACCAAATGCTGGCGAGGCTGTGGGGAGTGGAGAAATCCTTACCCTCTACACTGGTGGGAGTGGACTGGGACCACTGTGGCAAGAGGCAGGGTGGAGGGTCTTGGGAGAACTCAGCAGAGTGGCTGCCTGGCTGCTCAGCCCTGCTCCTCAGGACACATCGGCACGGAAGGGCGCCGTGGGGAGGCCCGCCAGCCACGTTTACTGGGCGTGTTGCAATGGCCAAGATACCCACCAGCAGATGAGTGAAGGAAGAAAGTGAGGTTTGTCTGCACCGTGGATGGTTCAGTTGCACAGGAAGCTGAAAGCATGTCATTTGTCAGACAGTGGCAGGAACTGATGTTTTAATTGCAGCAGACCAGTGTATCCCAGGTCTTCCCATGTCCTCTCTCTCAGTGCTGGGCCAACCTTGTGTCACTTCTGCCCCTGCTGTGAAGTTATTTTTAACAGTGTGTTGTGTGTGACCCAGTGTGTGAATGTAATGGTCCCAGCATGGAATGATGGAAGTGTATTGATGAGAAGCTGCTTTCTCTTGCTCATCGAGCCTTTAAAATCTCGAGTGTCTTTATTGCAGTCCCAGTACAGTATGTTGGAATCAGTTGTGGCGGGACGCCCCGGGCTGGGCAGCGTGAATCTGGACCCCACAGGCAGAGGCAGGAGAGGCAGTTGAATCTGAAGTGAAATGGAGCTGTTTGCTATGAGCAGGCTCTGTGTCCAGTGATCTTTGTGTGTGCGGTGTCTGCCTTGCAAGGCCGTGCTTGGAAGAAGTGGTTGCGTACGAGATCAGTTGCAGGTTAGAGTTCTACTACTACACAGAGTGGCTGTGAGCAGGTAGTGCAGGCCAGAGGTTGGGGGGGACCAAACAGTCCCTTCCAGAGCTGCGCCGAGGCCACATGCTCACAACCTCCTGGGGAGATGGAAGAACATATATGTAAACACGCGTGTCCTGTGGAGGGCGCTCTCAGTGTGGTTGGACGGGGAGATCTTCTGGTAGGTGGCATCTGAGACTGGCTCTCCCTGTTGACGCAGAAGTACCTGCAGCTGCTGGTCCTCTGGAAGACCAGACACAGACCCTGCATGGTTCTCTGTTGATGGCACACTTCCTGTTTCCAGGCTCTTGGAGTCTATGCTGTCAGGAGGCCTTGCTGTGCAGTGACTGTGGCTGGCAGGGTCTGGTCTGTACCCTCAGCTGCCCCTGGGGACTTCTGCTCTCCTGCCTGTGGGCAGGCAGCAGGGTGAGGACCTGTCGTGCCTCCACCATCCAGGTATTTCTCACTGGCTACTTTCCCTGCTCTCTGGAGGGCTTGCTGAGGCTCATCCAGCTTCCAAGTGGGCCTGCTGTTCCTGGACTCTGCTCCCCTGCTGGGCCAGGCTGGAAGTGAGGGCATCATTACTGCTGCGGTGCAGGGCATGTAACGGGCCTTGCAGAGTACTCTGAGGATTGGGAGCCCATCTCCTGTTCACTGTGTTTAGGTGGTTCCTGCGCAGAGCGCCTCTCCTGCAGTGCTGTGCTGGTTTTCCGGTGCGACCTGTGAACTCCTGTCTGTTGGGTGTGATCACTGGTGTCCTGGATCTGGTCACACAGGCAAGCCTGGGATTCTTGCCCTATCCTGGCCTTGCTGGAAAGGAGGCCTCCCGGTCTCCTTTCTCCACGTGACTTGCTTTCGTCTGTAGGATGGTGCTCGGCTCAGTGTTCTGCCACCTCACCACCTGTCATGAGCACAGCTCACAGCCACCTAGAGGTTGCCGCCCGGTGGGGGAGGTGAGTCCTCTAGTGGGGTGTCTCCTCCTCATCCCTCTACAGTGTGCGGTGTCTCAGCCCTGACCTGTCCTCTTCACTAGAGTTCTTTTTTTTGGTCTTTTTGAAACAGGGTCTAATTATACAGTTCAGGGTGGCCTTAAGCTCACTTTGTAGCCCACTCTGGCTTCGAACTCCCACCATCCTCCTGCCTCAGCCTCTGAGTGCTTGGATAACAGGCATGAGCCACTATATTCTGCTTTTCACTAGAGTTCTTTTCTGAGCATCTTGGGCATTGACTCAGTGACCTCTGCAAGCTTGTGGAAGCCAGGGACAGGTGCTGCAGGCTGAATGGCGTGGGAGTAGGAGCAGCCCACTGTCCTCTGTGGAGGTACTCAGCCTCTCTTGGTCTCCCTTGTTCTCCTGGCCCTGCATCCTAGCAAGGTATGGTTCGGGTGTGACTCAACCAGCAAGCCCCTGCTGCTGAGCTGGAAGTTTGTGGGAACTCAGGCCTGGTGGGAGCAGGTACTGTGGTCCTTGGCAGGGTCAGCTTGAGAGAATGGGCAGTTGCTGGGTGGCTGGCCTGGCTAGTGCTGGCTCTCAGGTGGCAGAGTGTACTGGATGGTGCCTGAAGTCCTAAAGTCTGCTGCAGCAGCGCTGTGAGTCAGGGCCTTGAGCTGAGTCAGAGACTTGATTGGCAGGTGTCTCTGCTGAGCTGAGAGATGCTGGGAGGCCTAGTGGGCTGCAGTGGATGAGGGGCTGCATCTGCCCCTCCCTCATCGTGGTGCTCAGCACTGGTCCTGGGGTGTCAGGTAGATGCTCAGAGCCTTATCAGGTCCCTGGGTGGTGCTGTGTGGGGCTCTGGAGAGTGTGGGGAGGTTGGCATTTGTGGGTGTGGTGGCACCTTTGTCCTCTACCCTGCAGGGGCCCAGCTGAGCTTGGGCTGGCTTTCTAGGTGAGGGAGGCAGTCTCAGGCCTGAGAGTTTGAATGGAGTCCCCAAAGCTGCTGGTCAGCTGGAGGCCTTGTGCCATGGCACATAGCTATCCCATTAGGATGTGCGCCATCGGCTTTGCAGCTGGTTCTCCTGAGTCTTTGGCTGCAAAGGCCTGTCCCAGTCTGGGTGTCATGGGTCCCACTGGGTGCAGGAAGCTGTGCTTTACAAGTGCTGTCCCAACTGTTTTGAGTCCCCAGGTGGGTTTTACTGGACTGCTGAGCAAGGATGTCCCTTGCTGGTCAGGTGGAGCATTTTCCAGAGGATTTGCTTTTTTTGGCTGAATCCTGTGGAGGGAGAGACGATGCAGGGGTCAGGGAAAAGCAACAGCTCGTGTCTAGCATGGCCAGTCAGGATGGTGCCTGCCCGCCTCTTCCCCTTTGCTTGCTTCTGGTCTCCCACCTTTCCTTTTTCTTTGCCAGGCCCCTTGAGCCATGCATCAGCTCTGCTTGCCTTCCTAAGTCAAGTGAAACAGGTTTCTTTGACAGTCTCTTAGTCATTACCTTTTAAGCAGATCGAGAACCTCTCAGGCCCCCTGTGGAAAGAAGGGACCGTCCCCTCCCTCTGTTTGGCAGGTCCTGGCCTTCCAGTGCTTGACTCTGAGCTGCTCACAGTCCTGGGAACCAGCCCACGGACCGGCTCCCAGGGAGGACGTCAATCCCAGTCCTCCCAGAGAGCACTGGGTGTGGAGTTGCACCTGGTGTGCTGAAATAGCTTCCCTGTCCAGAGTGTGTGTTTGTGTCCAAAAGCAGATTAGTGTGCATGGGGCATTTTTCCCTGACAGTTTAAGGAAATCAGCTGACTTTTCTGTCCTGAGATGATGCAGTGTGACTCGCATGGCCCTGATACTGTCCCACTTCCCCCAAGGATATACAGGCTTGCTCCTGGTGTTGGGAACTGGGCCATGGCCTCAGGCTGAGAGTATGGGAACTATGAGAGACAGGGCCACAGTTCCCAAGGAAATTGCTACTGTTCCTTGGTATTGAGCCGAGTGTCGGTTGGCTAGGAGCAAGTGAACCTGCAGGGAGGTCCTGGTGGCCAGTTGGGGACTGTTCACCGAGGTGTGGCTCTGGGAGGGGCTGTAGGTGATGAGCACGTGCTGGAGAGAGCCCATTGTGTGTGCTCTCCGGGTTAGCAGATGGTTGGCAGACTAGTGTGGTCTGGGTGCCTTTCTGCGCTCCCCCTAGGCTGATTCCCTTTGTTTCTTCTCTGAGTTTCTGCACACCCACATTATCTGGCTAATCACTTAAAGCACAGCACTGTCACAGACATGGAACTGCTTAACCTAGGAATACTCTGTGTGGAGCCTCAAGGAGAACATTCTCCTCTGTCCCCTCCTGCTGTTACCACTTCCCCCCACAAGACTGTGAAAGGAATGGGTGGTTTGTCTTTTTGAGACAGGGTCTCATTATGCAGTTCAGGCTGGCCTTGAGCTCACTTTGTAGCCCAGGCAGTCTCCAGCTCGCAAACGATCCTCCTGCCTCGAGTGCTGGGATTACAGGCATGAGCCACCACGCCCGGCTGTGAACGCTGTTTTAAGGGTGCTTCCTCTGCAGTCCATGTGCAGGTTTCCAGTGATCCCAAAGTGACCCTCCCAGTTCCTTCCCTTTTCTATACGTAGGATCTGAGTAAGGATCATGTTCTGTGTGTTCTTTGTCTCTTTTTTCACAGAATGGCTCCTCCCGTTTGTCGTTCATGACTGAGTTTTGCAAGAATCCAGGCATGTGTCTTGCAGAGCACGGCAGTCTGGCTGGGATTGGGTCTAGGGTAAGCATTTTCTGCCAGGCTTCTTGGGTGGTGTCCTCTGCTTCCCATTGCCTCGTATCAGAAGGTGCCCAGTGCCAGCTCACTCTGCCACTGCGGTGCTCAGAGTGGCCTGGGCTCTGATGCTTGGGCACCTCTTGACCTTCAGTAATCCACGGCAATCTCCTGGGCCCTGTGCTGGCTGGACCTGTGCTGTCACTCATTTTGGTGGTTGCCACATGGGATTGAAGCCTTTGTTTTTGAGTCTGCCTTTAGGACTTAAGGCTGTGGATGGTAGGGGACTGGCCGGTGGAGCTGGCTGCTCACACCAGAAGCTCTGTGTCTCAGGATGTGGGAGAGGAGGGGGCGAGGCTGCCCGTGACTGTGGTAGGCACGTCTGAGCCTTGTTGCTTTGTGATACCAAACAGGATTCAGTCTCTGATTCAGACTGAGTTGTGAGCTGAATTTTACCTACTGGAGATACGGACTTGAGCAAAGAAAGTTCACTGATGAGGAAAGAAACGATGCAGCAGGGTGTCATCCACTTTGCAAGTGAAGAAGTACTGGAAACTCAATAGAGACAGAAATGTAATGGCAGTTTAAAAGTGTCCAGCAGCAGCTCAGTAGTGCTGGCCTCTGCTCCAGGGTCACCCTCAGCACCAGCATCATTGTCATCCTCAATGGGGTAAGGACATGGCCAGTGAGTCACATGTGATAAGTGGGGGGAGCTGGTATTGGAGTGCAGGTTATGGCACTGCCAGGCTTCTAAATATGTGTGGCCAGTGAGCTCTGCCCAGGGCGCGTGGCCATGACTTTGGGGGGAGGAGTAGCTTTGGTGGCATCCACGGAGTGCAGTGACTCTTGGTGCCTTTGTAGGGTGGTGCACATATCTCGCATCCCATGGGTGGATGTGGGGCTGGCAAAATTTAGTTTCCAACTAAAACTGGAGCCAGTCACTAGGAGACTTGGGGATAGGTGCCTGCATTAAGTGTGTGTGAGTCCTACCCTGTTGTCTTTGTCGCTGTGGTACCCTGTGGACTGTTTGTGTTCTGGTTGCAGTGGAAAATGTTTTTGTTTTAGGTCACGATCGAATGTTTGGACTCTGGTCACACCAAGACAAGGCAACTTTTGGGTGGGGACGTTTTTAGGAAATTTGTAGTTGTGTCCCTGTCAAGTATCTAACTGTAAAGCTCGCAACTAGGAATGTCCCTTGCGCCCAGCCGCAGGCATCTTGCTGGAGACTTTGCTCAGAGCTAACCCAGAGCAGCAGGATCCGAGCATGCAGGGACTCCAGCCTTCTGGCAAGAGGCAGCACAGGCTTGTGGGTCAGGGCAGTGTTTGGATGGGCTGTGTTCTGAGAAGACAGAGTGCATGGTTTGGATTTCACGGTGAGCAGGGAGCTGGCCATGCTTCTCCAGGTGGCAGTGGTCATTTTGATTCTCCAGTGGGGAAGTGGCCAAGAGGAACTGATGTGGTGTGGAGCAGAGCTGTTGGTGCGTCAGAGGAGCAACAGTGGCACAGGTGTGGATGTGGTCTGGGGAGGAAGAAATGATACTTTGGGGAGCAGTGCCGGGGTTGGAAGAGGCAGGAGGGACATATACCTCTGGATGCCAGCTGCTGCACGACTGGCTGGTGGCCTTGGATTAGCTGACCAGAACCAGCCCTAGCTTGTCAGGATCGGAGGATCACTTGTGTGTGACTGAAGAGGGTTTGAACTCCCCCTGTTCTGGTCCTTCTTTGTGCTTGTCAGTGTGTGCCCAGAATCGCTATGGTCCATAGTAGAGGCAGAAATATGCATGGCGTGATGGGCAGAGGAGCAGGGTGGGCCATTTTGGGATGACTATAGGACTAAGGAGACCCCAGATGTTGCTTCCAACCCCTGTCCTGTACCTGGAGCCCAGGGCCGCTGCAGAGGCCTGGCTAGCTCTACCGTTGGGAGACTGTCTACCATTCTGTCCTGCTGAAGGGTGACCCTGTTGTTCCTTTCCCATCTTTGTAGTTTAATGTTGAAGAGATAGAGAAGGGAGGGTTGGAGCCCTGTGGTCTGTGAGGAGCAGGCCTTGGGTGCTGGGGAGTGTCTCAGTGCTGATGGGGTGCAGTGGGGAGAGACGGTGTGGCCAGGCAGGTGCCCATGCACATTCTAAAGTGGCCTTCATGTTTGCTTAAGGAAAGCTGGGCTGGGCATTCGGGATCCAGTCACCACAGCGTGCAGTGAAACCAGTGAGCAGTGAGGCTCTGCAGGGTGGCTGGGGTTGAGATGTGCAGTGTGGGGACCTTGGGGCTCAGGGGCCTCCTGGCATTCGGGTGAGTGCCATCACCTGACCCACTGTGAAGCAGACAGGCTGTCCGCATAGGCCTGGGTCACAAACTTCTTCTGGAAGTGCAGGTCCTGGCCCTGTCTGAAGTTCTGGTGGCATCATCCCATCTTGTCTCCAGGGTCACCTGCCATGCTGTCCTTTCACATCTTGCAAGCTCCTCCTGGACTTTTCAGGCCTTCAGGTGAGAGTCGCACGTGCAGAGTGGAGTGGGTTGTCAAGTGCTGGGATGCCTGTGTTTAGGCACTGTAGCTCGTGGCCGCTGGAGAGCCTGGTTTGTGCCTGTTGGACCCTTTTCTTTCCACTGTGGATCTTGCAGGGCTGCAAGAAGGGGAGGGGCCTAGGGTTTTGTTTGTCTGTCTCTGTCTGAGACAGGGCTAGTTGTATAGTTAGGACTGGCCTCAAACTCACTGTGTAGGTTCCAACTCGTGTCGATCCCCAGGCCTCAGCCTCTGAGTGCTGGGATCGTAGGCCTGGACCACCATGCCCTCTTGCCTGGGGCTGCCCAGCCTTGCCCACCTCACCCTCCTGTTTGGAGGTTCTCTGGGTGTGCCTGGTTGGGCTGCTGCTCCTCAAGAGTGGAGGCCTTTTGACTGGTGTGGGTGGGCAGTGGACAGTGGGTGATGGGCAGCCGTCGGGGAGAGCTGCTCAGGTGCTCTGGGGGCTCCCGGGCATGCGTCCTGCATGTTTCCCACCCTGCTTTCAGATACCCTTAGGCTGGTGTGACAGCTCCCAGGAGAGTGTCACACAGTGGGGTCTGCTTCATTTCTTCCTCAGAGTGTACCCCGTGAGTCTGGGGCACTTCAGGGTGGCCTCTTGCTGGGATCTAGTGTGGGCAGCCCCTCCTTCGGGGATGGGCCTGGGACTTGACTCTGTGCAAGGGGAAGGGGTGCGGGGACTGCTCAGCACTTCCTGGGCCTGTGTGACCTCAAGCGGCGGCTGTGGCTCTCCTGCGTTCAGAGCTTTCTGCCTGCTGACCTTGTCCGGCTCCTGAGACCCCAGGCAGTTGCATTGTGGTCTCAGCTTTCCCTGGGGCTGCAGGGGTCCTTTTCTACCCATCTTCCTTATGCCTGGTGCCCTGGGTAGGAGGTTAGTGGATGTTTGTAACCTGCCATTGGGATTCAGAGACTTCCAGGCTTGGGTTTTCAAGCCACTTGCTCGGGGTTGAGAGGTGATATACACTCCCTGACTGTGTAGCTATAGGTTCTGCCTTTTCCCTGTCCTTAGCCTGACTAGTGTCGTCCCTGTGGCGTAGACAGCACTGTGTGACCACATGCTTCTGGCACTTGAAGGGGTGCTGTCTAGGATGCCCCATATGGCCCATGTGGAACTCCACGGCCCCTAGTTTTACCTTTGTCGCAGGTGTGGCACTACTTGAGGAGGAAGCCAGCAGCAGAGTAAACTGCATGTGCTGGTCGGGCCCAGCGTCCTCCGTGGTCCTTGCCAGGCCAAATAGCCCTTCCCTCCCCTGCTCGGAGTGTGCCGTTCTGAGGGCTGCAGCTCTTCGGAGGGCTATCATTAGCACCTGCCTCTCCTGGTCCTGGACTCCCCTTCCTGAAAGCCTGCAGTCACACTGGTTCGTTGTTTCTAGAATGTGTGTTCTCTGCCCAGTGTCTGGGCTGTCACCGTGTAGTTTGAAGAATTGAAGTGACTTGGTACTTAGTTAATCTGAAGCACAGCTTGGGGGGCACATAGGGCAAAGTGCTGTTATTGATTGAACCCTCAAACCTGAATTTGATCACTGAGGGGAAGGAGTAGGTGGAATTCAGGTGCAAAATTTACAGAAGCCCGGGAGATGAAAGCATAGGGCTTGATCCCTGCTTTTTACACATCATAGGCCATTTGCATTAAACTTAAATAGCACCACTTAAGATTCATTTTTACTCATTCTTGTTCTAAAATTGCAAATTCCTTTTGATGATGTGATAGGACAAAATTGTATTTTTAAACTTTGCAAGCCACACTCCAAACTCTGCCAAAATAACAGTTTCTTGTGTCCAAAATAGCTTTGTCTTAAGCTTGCTGGGGAGCAGCTCACAGAGTGTGGGCATTGGGTGGCTTGGGACAGTCTGGGCCCCTGTCCCCTTGTCTCTGGCGGTGCTAAGGTGGCTGGAAGGGAGATGAGGAATAAGACAGAAGTTCCTGGGCTCCGCGTCCCGCAGTGCACCCTTTCTGGCAATGCCTGGCACTGTGTGGGGGCCTCGCTGCTGTGCTATGGTCAGGGCTGTGGGGTGGGCACAGGTGTGTGGTAATGGGCGTTGGGAGGGTGTGAATGCCTGTGAGAAGAAGTAGCCATGTGACTTACTTGCATGCCTCCCTCTGCCCTGCCCCAAGTCACAAGACTTCAGTGGCCCAGGGTGTGACAGAACCATATCCCCCAGGTTTAGAGTCTGCTGTTCGTAGGCCGGGTGCCCAGAGGCCAGGAGGTGGTGGGCTAGGTGTGCTCCCTGCTCTCCACTCCTCCTTTCTCCCAGCCTGTGGTGCCCAGCCGCTGGCAGGCAGCGTGTCACCCTGACCATCATGGTGTTTGTGTCTCCTCCTGGTGATTCCTGTAAATGGCAGCCACTGGAGGTTGCCTTTGGGTCAGAGTAGGAGCTGCATGTGTGCAGAGTGCGCCCCTCAGGGAGTGACAGTACACTGTGGAGTAGGCTTTTTTTTTCTTCTTCTTTTTTCTTTTTATGACTGCGTGCTTGTAAGCACGCTTATGCCTCTGAGCCAAATCCCCAGCCCCTATTTTGAAGTCATACTCAACGTGCACCTTCCTGCACCCGAACCACCCATTCCTCAGTGATCCAAGGGCTTCACTTAGCAGCCTGTTACTTCTTTTTTTTTTTTTTTTTAATTTATTTTTTTTTATTTAAGGAGATGCCCTCTTTTTTCTCAATCTCCACTCCATTATTTACTTTTTTATTTTTATCCGTTTAATTAAAAGGAAAAAATAGCAGGATATAATATAGTAGCCTGTTACTTCTTTTGTTCTTTGAGATGAGTCACATCTCTCAGTGGTCTGAGGGGGATGTTGCCCCATGAAATGACGGCACTGGGGAAGCCGTGCCTGACCCAGGGGAGGTGTGCTGTTGGTTTGAGTTAGCTGGGAGGTGTTGCTGTGCCCCTGTGCTGTCTTCCTCCTGGCTGGCAGAACAGCACCCCTTGGGAGGGCAAGGCTGTGGTGGGCGCCAGCTGTATGTGTGCTAGGCACATTTGACCCACATGCCTCTCGAGCAACTGAGGTCCACCTTCTGCCATCCCTGCCCTTGTGTGCCAGCCTCATGTGTCCGCGCTGCCCAACCGGGCCTTGGGGAAAGAGCTGCTGGGTCCTCATGAAGACTGTGTTTCTTCTCCCGGCCTCTGTGCTGTGGTGTTTGTTGTATTTCCTTCTGCAGCACTGGTGTTAAGCACTGGAAGTAGAGTGAAAAACAGGCCGTAAGCAGTGAGCTCAGCACTGAGCGCTTCTTGATGGAAGGCTGCTGAGCGCTTGTGTTTTGGAAATAGCAGGTTCTGTGGCACGTTTAATTCACTCCACACGAGGTATAGCTGAGCTTCTGCTTGGCTAGGCTCTGCTTGCCCATGCTCCTCATCCTTGGCGTGAGGAGCAGCTTAGGCCTGACTGCGTGGGGGAGGAGCATGGTCTCCATTTCTGGGTTTCCCTTGGAGACCCTCCTCTGATTGGGCGGTGGCTTGAGTATTTAGCTGTTCTAGCGGCCCCAGGATTCTGCATGTATAGCTCCTGGTGCCACTGAAAAAAGGCTAGGGTCAGTAGAGGGGGCTCCTCATCCTGTCCCACTCTCTCCTTGCCTTGGAGCCCACAGCATATGGGCAGGAGGCCCTTGGAAGGGCTGTCCTGTCTACTGCGCTGCATGATTCTCGTGCTCACGCTGGTTTATTTGTGTACATGGCTTTCTTCTTCCTCCCATAGTGTGTGCTTACACCCCACAAAGGTTTCTGGTGCTGGTTTTCTGATGGAACACTTATGCATTTGAAGAATAGTCTGAATATTCCTGTGGGAAGTACTTGGCCTGGGCTTCCGGTGGTTTGTCATCTCCTCTGTCCAGCCTTCCCTTGGGGACGGCACGATGTGACGTCACACCAAGACCCATGGGCGGGTGGGCGGGCACAGCTGCTTCCTGGTCTCCAAGTCGGGGAACTGCATAGTCCTGGAATAACAGGAAGCCTCCCCATTTGCACATCCTCTGTTCTGGATTGCGTGCCTCACCGACTCGCCGCCTCGCCGCCATGAAGGTCAGTTCCATTTATGTGCTTCTCTGTAGACCTGCAGCTTGACTCTTCCAGGCTCTAGAATTAGACCATAGTGCTTAGGGACACCAGATCACCCATGTGAGCATTTCACAGGTAGGGGGGCTTGAGAGTTGGTGCAAGGAAGCTGCGGCCCATTAACATTAATACTGTTGAGCCAGGGCCTTCCTGCAGAGCCCCGCCCTGAGCCTTTCTTAATCCCTTTGTTTAGTGAAGGGGCCTCACTAAGTCCCTGAGCTGCACAGAGCCTGGGATTCTCCTGCCTTAGCCTCTGAAGCCCTGGGTTACAGGTGTGTGCCGTCAGCCCAGTTTAATGTTAATACTTTCATTCTTTAAAAGCTGCAGCCTAGCCCATATATGCCACATAAAAGTATAGAGGGTGTGGTTGGTCAGCTAGTTGGAGCACCCATTTGAGCTAGGTTGCCTCCGTAGCCACGAGTGGAACTGAGTTCTGAGATGGTTCTGAAGCTTCTGTTCTGATGAATGCTTACCCGGCCACTGCTTGTTGGACCCTCTGTGGGAGTGGAGTGTGTGTGTGCGTACGTGCATCTGAATGTCCACATAGGGCTCCTTTTGTGTGAACTTTAAGCAGTGACTGAGCTGTGCTTTCAGCACTTCTCTGTCTCAGTGTCTTGATGGCCTCGTATTGAGGTCATTTTCCAGCTTCAGTCTTCTTTATTCATGCGTGAACAGACACCTCAGAACTGGTTTTTATTTTATGATTTCAGAAATTATTGACAGAAAACAATTAACTGGAGATTTTTTGTTTTGTTTTGTTTTTTGGTAATGGAGAGTGAACTCGGGGCCACCTTCACACTGAGCTGCATCCCCAGTCCTTTTTATTTACTTAGTTCTTATTTTGAGACAGGACTCAGTAGGTAGAAGTTGCCCATGCAGGGCCTGGACTTGGAATCTTCCCCCCAGCCTTTCAGAGTGCTGGGGTTTACAGGTGTGCCCTGTCGCACCTGACTACCGAGTCTCTTCCATGAAACTCAACCTGATGCTGAGTGCCGGGGTGGGTGGCGAGGGTGGGCTCATATTTGCTGAGATTTGAGAAAGACACAACTGGCCACTTATACTCCAGGACAGCATGTAGATGTGCACTGTGGACTTAGCCTGATGACACATGTTTTGGGGTCCCCATTGGGGCCTCAGCTACACTGTCCAGGCGGGTCTGCTATAGGAAGTAAGATGAGTAAGACTTAGCCCAGAAGGAAGGAAGAAGGTGGGCGGGAGGCAGGAAGTGGGGAGCTCCTGGAAGGCACTGCCATAGTCCTGGTGTGGGGGTGGGGAGTGGGTGCAGGGCAGGTGGCACCGAGATGTCTTCTCCCATCCTGTGACCCATTCTGCCCCACTGAGGGAAAGCACGCAGCGTATGGTGCATTTTGGTGCTTAACTCTGAGACTTTTTTAGTTTTTTTGGGGTCAGAATAGTGGATTACTAAAATTATTCTTGTGTGAGGCTGTCTGATGATTAGGAAGAGCTGTGTGTGTTTCAGCATGCTATGTGAGTGCACACATGTCCACATGCACACACACAGATGCACATGCACACCCAGCCACCTGCATCCAGTGTGCTCCTGTGCTGTCTTCCAGCTGCAGGTGGGTGGGGTGAGGTCCTCCAAGCTGCCAGCCTCCCTGTCTTCCTGCCTGCCCATCCCGTATGATGGCTCGCTTTCTGGACAGTGCAGTGGGCAGAGCTCCTGCCCTGGCCCCATGCTGTGGGCCTCTCCCTCCAGGCACAGCCTTGCTCTCTGACCTGGGTGTTCCTGGTGCTTCTGGTGTGGCTGCATTCACCTCCTTGTCAGTGATGGAAGGAGCAAGTGAGGCGCCTGACTGGGAAGACCCTTTTTGGCCAGGCTTGGGCGAGGAGGAGGCAGTGAGCCTCCTGTCCAAACTGGGCTGCATCTGCTTGCAGGAAGCACCCACTGCGTGCCCCTGCCGCCACCTTGTCCTGTATCTGTGCCTCTGCTCTTGGCCACCAGCCAGGGACCCACACACCTGCATCTCCGGACACCAGGGACCCTGTCTGTGCTGCACTTATGGGGACTCGGCACTAATTTCGCTTGTTTAATTTTTCCTTTCAGACATTTGATGCAAATGATTTGTATCAGGGGCAGAACTTTAACAAGGTCCTCAGTTCCTTAGTGACTCTAAATAAAGTGACAGCAGGTAAGACTCCTTTTATTAACTTTGGGGTGCGGGGAGTGTGGAGACGATCTGTGCTGCTGGCTTGGTTGTTCCTTGGTGCTGTACTCTGGGTCTGAGTCCTCCCCTGGAACAGAGGGGCTGGCTTCCCATGCTGGCTGGCCCTGTCACTCTGGTCATTGGCAGCCGAGCTCTGGGGAGTGGCACAGGGCCTGTCCTGCTACGCTTGGCTGCGTCTTCACTGTGCAGTGTGCACGGCCTGTCTGGACGCTTGAGGTCTGCACAGTGAGTCTCTGTGCTCAGGGCCACAGGCTCCTGTTTCCCTTCTTAACAGGGTAAGTTTCTGAGGACACAGGGACAGGAGCAGCCCGTGGAGTAGCATCTGTGGGTCCTCTTGAGTGCCACCGTGTTCCCTGTGGGGTGTGGAGTGCTGCTGAATGGCCGCATAGGCCACACGTTCAGGCCTGGGGTTTGGGGCTCTGGTGCGCACTCACCCTGTGCCCATTGTTGGTCAGGGCTGAGGCACTGTGGCTTTCAGGTCAGTGACGGGGCATAAAGAAACTGAACTGCATAGCTCCGGGGCACTTGCTGCCCCCCGCTGCATACCATCGGCATGGTGGCACATGCCTGTCAGCCTAACACTCACAAGTTCAAGGCCAGCCTGGGCTGCATCATGAGACTTTGTCTCTCAGAAAAAAGAGACAGTATTATGTATTCTAGATGTCTTTGGGTGTGTAGTAGATGTAAAGTATGTAGGGTTTTACGTTATAAAGTGGTATGTGGAAGTCAGAACTAAAAAGTGGTACTTTTTAGTACTTTAAATACTACTAGTGATCCCTCTCAGAAAGTATTTTTCTTCTCTGTTGACTCCTTTTTATAGTTTTTCTAAAGTTATTGCTTGGGAAAAAACTCATCCTTTAGATTTCAGTGTTTTGTGGTTCCTCAAAGTAGCATGGTTGCAGCTGCTGCATTCTTGGGAAAACTCCCTTCCTCTGCTGTGTTCCTTCTAGAGAACTGTGTGTGTACTCAGGTATTAAGATGGGTGTTTGCCTCTTGGTTGGTGATGAAGAGGTTGGGTCAGGATGCTGTGACTGGGTAAGAAGTCAGGGCCTGTCTGGAAGCAGTTTGGCTAGACCAGGCTGCCCCATGGTGGACTGCAGGGAGTGCCCTCTGGGGTGGGTCTTGCCTTGGGGCGACCTTAGGTGTCTTATCTCCTCAGGTGGAGACACTCAGTGGCACTCACTGCTGGCCCTGCACAAAGCCGTAGAAATTGGCACTTTAGCTGTGATAGCCAGGGTGGCTAGGTTGTTCCCAATAGGGCCCCCGCTTGTTGGCAGCAGTGTGTAGGTGGGACAGGATGGAAGGAGCACCTGGGCTCCTCCGCTGCCTGTCCTGCCCTGTCAGTCTGCCCTGAAGGGTTGAGGACTCTGTATTGTCCTTCTGAGTGTGCCAAGAGTGGCTGTGACTCTGGGTTTTCCTCTGATGTTTTCACATTTCCAGGGGTCAACAGCTAATTCTGAGTTTCATAGACACCCACATAGGGCAGTGACAACAGGTGTGGCAGGAGGGGCTGGAGACCTGGAAACTGTCAGCCTCACGGAAGCTGCCATGCAGCTGGACGACTTGGATTGGAACCGCTCTCCAGCCCTGGTTTCCTCAGGAATCATTCCTGGCCCCACCTTTCCTTCTCTCTGTCAGTCATGTGCAGGCGGTGGACTGCTGGTTGTTTCTGGGTGATTGGCAGGAGTCCAACTCTCCTTGCCGGCTCCTGGTGGCCAGTGCCTGCCCTGACGTGGGCAGAGATGTGCACCGTCCATGAGGGAGGCATTCAGTGGGCTTGGAGCCTTTAGTTCTTGTGCGTGGTACACATGCGTGGTACACATGCGTGGCCTGGGAGAAGCAGCACGTGTGGCGTGCAGGGGAGTGAGCCTAGCAGTTCTCCGCTGGCTAGCTGAAGGGGAGGCTTGTTTTCCCGTGGAAGGGAAGTATTAACAGCAGTCACAAAACGTTTTACAAACTGTTGAAAAATGACACTGGAGAAGAGCTGATAAATGCTTGGCTCCAGATAGCTTCTGAAGAGCTGAAGGGAATGAATGCCAGGCGTTCTTGGAGCAGACAGAATCTGCTCTTTGTCCATGTGTCAGTGGCCAGCTTTGTGGCCCGGCTGTGTCCTGTGTGCCGGCCCAGCTGGAGAGTCCATGTGTGGCGCAGCTGTGTGGCGTCTTCGTCTCAGGGCTCTCTGTGTGCTCGCCCCCGGCAGACATCGGCCTGGGAAGCGACTCCGTGTGTGCGCGGCCTTCCTCACATCGCATCAAGTCCTTTGACTCCCTGGGAGCCCAGTCTTCACACAGTCGGACTTCAAAATTGTTCCAGAGCCAGTACCGGAGTTTGGTAAGTCGCAGAGGTTTTATTGCTTGCACTCAAGTGCATCTGGGGACATGAGAGGGTACAGTGTGTGTGTGGATGCAGGTGCAGCTCTGTTCACAGCGTTGAGCAGCTGGAAGGGGCGAACTCTGCCTCCTGCTGCAGGCTCCATACTAGAGCCTCTGGGTTTATGTGGGATGAGGGCTTTCAGAACTCTTGCTCTGGCCGGCGATGTGGCTCAGTGGCGCATGCGCCTGCCTGGCAAGCACGAGGTCCTGAGTTAGATTTCTGGTAGAAAAAACCCCCTTGCTTATTGGGGTACATTGAGGCACAGTGCTCATCTAGAGAGCTGATAGCCTTTCACATGTTTCCTTGGGCTGCTGGTTTCTCATGTGCAGTGCACAAATGTACAGAGGCACAGTAAGAGAGCTAGATGTTGAAGTACTTAGCCGTACAAAGAAAGAAATACTTAGAGTCACGACTCAGGAAGTGATGTTTTGTCTCCTTGCAAGTCTGCCTTTAGTGCTTTCCTAAATGCAGCTCTTGCTGTGCTGTGCAGGATGGGAGGAAGGGGCAGTGGGTGGTTGTCCTGGGAAGGGACAAAGAGCCCATTCCAAGTGCTCAGAGTGCAGGCCCCAACTGGACAGTGAGAATGGAATCAGCTTTAGGGGTCAGGTCTCATGCAGGACTGGGTGCCAGTGCCCGGGATCCTCCAGCTGCTGCTGCTCCTGGCAAGCCGTGCCCTCCTTGGCTCTCTCCTGTGCCAGCCGGGCTTGGCAGTCAGCGTGTGTTAGATCGAGGCTCCCCGAGGGGTTCCCCTGGGAGACACAAAGCCATTTGCAGTGAAGTTCTAAGGAGCACTTAGGCCTTCTAGCCACCCTTCTGTTGTGGTCCATTGAGGTTCATTCATAGTGAGTGTTGAATGTTGTTTGCAGAGAGTTGATGTTGGGAAAACGAAATGACTCAGGGATGTCGTTAACCCTGCTCTTGAGTTTTGGCCTGAGGCTGAGTCTCGGCTTGCTCCTGGAGGAGCCTGATCCTCCTGCTGACCATGCATGGGATACTGGTGTTGTGTGCAGTCCTTGAGGGCCCTAAGGGTCTGGGTGTCGTGGTCCCTGTTCAGAGGACTTGGCATTGGTGGAAGTGTGCAGGGTACCATTGAGAGCGGCATGATTCAGATTGAGGAAACTGTTGTAGTCAGGGGTTGTGTGGAGAACAATTAGCATCAGGACATGGAGTTATAATATTTTTATAATGGTCACTTGGAGTTAACACAAGAAAATGCAGGAAATCTATCCTCCACACCAAAGACATAGATTATTTAGTCAAGAGCCTAAATCCCACAGGATTGTCCCACATGAGCCCAGATAAAAACTCAGAGCTCATGACAATGCCTCCCATGAGTCCAGCTGGAGGTCCAGAGCCCACAAGAAGGATTCACATCAGTCTCTTTATGGTTCTGTGCTGGGAAGGCCCAAAGGTCAGCTGTGGAAGCTAGAAAGTCCATGCCAGCAGGATGAAGGAGCTGTGCTGGTGGGATGAGGGTTCTACGCTGAAGCCGAGAAGTCACACTCACAACAAAGACCAGGGCTGTCCTGAAAGGCAGCACAGCCATCCTCAGCGACACGGAGGCCCCAAGCTCCTCCGACGACATGCATAATCGGGTGTGTGCCAGGAAGCCAGCATGATGAGTTCATCCTGGAGACTAAGCGGCACATGTTTTCTCCTCCAGAGCCAGGAGGAATGCTTGATGTGAGGACCAGAGCTTCTCCAGGAGAAACAGTGGTCCAAACAGTAACTCATGGGAGAACCCACAATGCCCCAGTGCAACAATGCAATAACGCCTCAACACCTTAACACCCTCCTTCTCCTTCACCACCTATTTATGCTGGCAACTTTTCCTAGGTGGTGCATCTTTGCTCAGTGCCATGCTGATGTAATCCAGCTGGCATTAAGTTGACCACCAGTTCTTAATCCATAACCGGGACTCAAACTCCTGGAAACATACCCTAAATTAGCTGTGTGATGTGTGTGAGGGAAAGGTAAGAGAAAGCAGCACACTTACCCTTTTACTGGGGATTTTTCTTTTCTTACTAAGTAGAGGAGGGATAAATGGGAAGTGTACACTTTCAAGTAAAATAAAGTTAAGTGTGAGGTTGGTAATGGACATTTCTGGAATCATAATTAGATGAGGCTGACTTTTCTCAGCTAGAAACTTGCTAAGCAGTACTTGGGAGACAGGGCCTGCCTGCCTTTGCCCTCTAGCCTGGGATTCCTTTCTGGCTGGCCAGCGTGTGCGCACCGAGATGGGCTGCTGGTAACATGACCTCCTCTTCTTCCTGGGCTGTGCCTGCCTCTGCTGTGGGACTGAGGGGTCTGGGTCTTTGCCTTTGGAGTTTTCTGAGGGTCTGTATCAGTAACTCTACCAGGAGGTATTCTTGGATTAAACGAAGTCCACAGTGGTGCACGAATGGCCAACTGTGTGTCAGAGCTGGGTGCTGGCAGTGTGGAGGATCCCGCTGTCACCTTCTCCTGTGGTTGAGCTGCTGAGGCTCACACAGTGCCCGTGGGGTGTGGCATCAGTGTTGAAATTATGTAGCAGACAGTGTCTGTGCCACAGCAGCTGGCTGAGCAACTTTGCTCACTTCTGCTAGTGGAGCTGGGGTTCTCAGAGCCTGCATGTCTGCAGCACATGTGCACTGCGGTATGGGTTTCCTGCCTTAGGTGTCAGGAGACTGTGTGGTTGTGTCTCTGTTTGGCCCTGCAGTGGGAGCTGACACTCCTACGTGGGTGTCTCTCCATGGATGCTGGGTGCTTTCTTCTGGACTCTCTGATGCCTCTCCAGTTTTGCTCTGATGGCCTCCCTCCCAGACAGGAAAATGTAGGATGAAGAGTGTGGTGGACCAGGCTGTTGCTGTTTGTTAAAGTGCTTTTCCTTGTCTCTGGGACAAAATATCCAACACCTGCAAGAGGTGAATCTCAAGGTCACATCTTCATGACATCCTGGACACGCTATGAGTGTTCTCAGCAACCCCTGCTTGCACTGGCACCACCAGTTACGGCTCCTGCAGAAGGCCTGGGTGCCTTTGTGCGTGCATCTTTGCCCTGTTGGGCTACGGCTCTGCTGATGGTCCCCTTGCACTGGCAACAGTGGTTTATGTGTGACACAGGTGCATGCTCTCAGAGGGATGGGCTTCTGTGTACTGGGCGTTGCCAAGTGGGCAGCATCCAGTGAAGATGGCAGGCACAGCCGTGGGCACCTCTGTGGGGTCACTTTTCCTTTCTCCTGTGTGCCTGTCTTTGGGTTTGCTCTGCTATGTTATAGACGTTGCTGGAGTGTCATGTCAGACCCAGCAGATTCATGGTATCAGGAGAGCTACTGTAGAGACGGAAAAAAATGGGTGTAGTGGTACATGCTTGAAATCCCAGCACTCTTGGAGGATGAGACAGGAGGATCGCAAATTTGAGCACAGCTTGGGTAACAAAAGGAAAAGAAAAAGTGGCTGGAGGTGTAGCTCAGGTCATAGGCCCCAGATTCAATCCCCAGTACCAGGAAAAAATAAAAAGGAAGGCAGGGACCCTCACAGCAATAGGCTTGTGCTTATATTTATTTTGTGCTGCGTCCTGTGACTGGTGACATTAAGTCAGCCCTTCTTCCTAGAGCCCTACTGCGCCTGTCTCCTGCCTCGTACCCTCCTGGCATGGGTCCCATATGGTCTCTCTAGGGTAGCGTTGTAGCGGTTGTAGCAGATACATTGAGGCAATCAATGTGGCCTTCAGCCCAATGACTGCTTAAGGAAACCGGAAGATTCCACACGGATCTGAATGGTTACCTGTGCCCGCGATAGGTTTCCGGAGTCCCTGTGTGGTGCTGGTGCTGCATCTCTTCTCAGAACTAGCTGCTTTTCCTGCGCTTGCTTACCTGGCCCCACGCTGCAGGCTGTGGTGCGCATGGCACATCTCCTGTGTGTTTCCTGGTTCCCTTCCACTCTGACCTTTGTCCCTGCTGAGCTGGCTTAGCAGCCTGTGCTGGACTGCACCTGCATGTAGCTGGCTACAAGGCTGCGCGTGGCATGTGCACCTGGGGGCTCCCCTATGCATGGGCTTTCCTGCATGTGACTTTCTCACTGGGTTACAGTGAGTGCAGTGCAGCGCAGATCATGCTGAAACCTTGGTTTGCAGCAGAAGGCTGGATGCCATGTGGCAGTGAAAGGTGTCCCTGTCTCAGGAGTGAGGGCACGTGGGCACTTCTCCATGTGTCATTTTCTCCCACCTCAGCAATGGCAGTCAGAGAGTGCTGCATTTGAAATGAAACCATCAGCTGCAGCCTTCCCTGCAGATTGAGAGATTTTGGTAGTAGGTAGTAGGGCTGTGTTAAGTGTTGTGTTCAATCTTTTAACATAGTGTTTTGAATTAATGTTTACTGTTTAAACAGGATTCCATGGCAGTACTGGGGAAGAATCCTGCCATCTCTGGCTGCTCTTTGCTAGAACCTTGTGTTTCTGCCTTGCCCTCTGCTGGGCGTGCTGGTGGTGGGCGCAGGTGCTGCTCCCCAGCTTGCTGGTCAGCCAGTCCCTGTTGCGTCCTTGTCTCTGTAGGTTTTTGCCTGGGTGTGTCTGAATAAATGGCCTTTTTGTTCAGCTCATTTCAAGTGCTGTCCCTGTGGACTCCTGCTGTGGAGTGGGACGTGTCCTTCCATCACAGATGCCCCCATGCTGTTTCCCTGGCAGCCAGGTGCCACCCTGGCCTCAGCCAGATTCACATTTGGCACGTGATTAGGACCGGGCTGCCAGTGTTCCTAGCAGAACCGTGTCTTGTCTAGTGACTCTTCTTTTCCTAACAATGGTGTTTTCTGGGATTTGTAATTGTCTTTTTTTTTTTTTCTGTCTGCATCCTTTTTGTGGACAGTATACTGGTCTAAGATTGCATTCTCATATACTCCAGTGGTTGGGTCTTTTTGCCCTGTGCCCCATGCCCTGCACTCTGGTCTGCCCAGTGTGCCAGCTGGGCCACTTCCCCTCCCCTGGGCACACCCTCTGACCTTAGAGCTCACGCTGCTTTTCCACACCTGCTTTGTTCCCTGAGTGTTACCTGTTTTGAAGGTGTGTGCTTTTCACTAATTAAATATTTTGGGATCCTATATATTCACAGATCATTGCTGGTGAGTACCGTCGGGCAGATGTTGTTTATCCTGACGTTAAGCTTCTCATTGCCTTCAGTTTTCAGGAGTCTTTAATTACTATATTGGATGTGACCTGGCCAAGTTTCTTCATATTATTTATCCTCCTTTGGGTTCATTTGGGCACCACGGTCTGTAAGTGTGTGTCTTTGCCAAGTCTGAGCATCTCTGTGCTTCTCCATGACCCAAAGGCCCAATGCCAGGGCAAAGCTCTTGTCCTCCCACAGGGCCCTGGCTTGCTCAGAGTTTCTCTGGTCTGGTTTCTCTCACTGTTCAGTTTAAATAGTCCTCTCTAAGTTCTGTTTTTTCCTACCGAGACTTTCTGCTTCTCCTTTGGTCTACTTCAAGGGAATTTGTCACTGCTTCTTGAAGCCTGCTGGCTCCGGAAGCTCTTTCCTAGCTCTGTAAGCACTTCCAGTGACTCCTGCATCAGCTTCCTTCTGTCTTGGTGTTGTATTGCTTGGTTGTCGGAATTCCTTTGTTCTGGTTGTGATTGTCCCACTCCCTGGAATGCTTCTATTGTGTCCTGGACACCTTGGAGATAGGTGTTGGAGTGGTTAGGTCCTCTGTTCCTCTGTCCCTACAGGCCAGAGCCCTGTGTGTTTTCCGGCTCCTGACTGTGCACCTCTAGCGTAGTATAGTGGCTCCTGCTGGAACAGATGCTGCGGGGCTGTGGTTCAGGAGGTGCATTGAGAAAAGCCAGCTGCATCTGCTCGTGTGTGTGTGTGTGTGTGTGTGTGTGTGTGTGTGTGTGTGTAGGGTAGCCAGATGATAGGGCTGCCTGCTCCTTTTGGGTGGTGATGACTGGCACTCCCTGGGTCCTTTGCTAATTTCACAGGCCTGCTCACAGTGTGGCGTCCACTGGTGCTGGTGAGCTGGCATGGTGCCTTGGCCCCCACAGCTCCTTGAGGCTCTGCTGGGCTGTCCCTTCCATTCTGACAGTGACTGGGGCTGCCTTACCCCAGCAGATCGGGTTCTCCTGCCACGCAACAAAAGTGTGCAGCTTGAGAACAGTGTAGCATAGGGTGTGGATGACTGGGTCTTCTGGTCAGCATGGCTATGGTCAGTGTGTTAGGCCACACCTGCTGGCAAAGTGGGACTCCTCAATTCTGGCATGGACATTTTCTTAGTGTGAATTCATAGAACTTTTTGGAGGTTAGTTTAGCAATATGTGTGTGTTAAAATCTGAAATGTGTTGTAGATGTCCTCTGACCAGAATGTAAACTCCAGGTATATTTCTACATCTTGTTTGATATGGGCATGCAAGCATTTTTAATGCAGCCTTGTTTTTCAAAACAAGAAAAACACTGGAAAAATGCTAGATATGATCCGAAATCCACTGATAGAAGATGGATGAAACAGTGATTCTCCCAGACAGCACAGTGTTACCTGGATCATTGCTGGTGCGTACCGCTGGGCAGTTGAGCACAGTGACCACGTCTGGTGTTTGGTCGAGAAGTGTGTGAGCAGGTGTGTGGGTCATGCAGACCTTGCTAGTTGAAGTGAGCGCCGGGGGACAGCCAGGAATTGGAGTGACCTGACTCGAGCCCCTTTGGGCGTTTCTGCCAGTGTTTGGGCTCACACAATGGTGATACCGGATTTGGTGCTGTGAAATGGACAGAGCTGATGTAACTTTCTGTGCCCCTTCCCTCCTGATTTTTAGGACATGACGGAGAACAGCAACAATCAACTGGTAGTAAAAGCCAAGTTTAACTTCCAGCAGACCAATGAAGATGAGCTGTCCTTCTCAAAGGGTGACGTCATCCATGTCACTCGAGTGGAGGAAGGAGGCTGGTGGGAGGGCACGCACAATGGCAGGACCGGCTGGTTCCCCAGCAACTACGTGCGCGAGATCAAGCCGAGCGGTGAGTGGCCAGGCCTGGGTGCAGGGCTCTGCCCCCTGGCTCTGTTCTGGGGGGAGGGAAGGAGATGCATGGTTGGTTGTACCCTAATTCCCTGACCTAGGGTGTCAACTGAAGGGCACGGTTTTTACAAACTGGATTGGCGCTCTATCCTGACATTTTGCAAATAGAAAGAGAAACATCTCAAACCTGTAAAGTTTGTTGTTTTTTTCCAGGTTAGGCAGGATTCTCTGTTGAACTCTTGGATTTAAGTGTGCCCCTGCCACAACCTCTGGGTGGCTGGAAACACAGGTGCACACTGCCACACATACATAGCCTTATTCTTATTGTTGCACTTTCATGTTAAGATACATGCTGTATCCTTTTTCCGGGCCAGCGTTAGGACTTGCTGTCTGTAAGGTGTAGGCTGTATTTGAGTTTCATTAATGTGAGTGCTTTTGCCAGTCATGTGAGTGGTAATTTCTGCTGATTTTTGGTACAGTAATCATATTGAATGTGTCTTTTTCCTTGTATTTGTGTGGCTGACACTGGCTTACTGCCTGTCAAGATCAGTCTTTAGGAGGCTGGTTCTTCTGCAGGGGAAAATGTGCTATATTGGTCTTTGTTCTGGCAGGGATCTCGTGTCATGAGTTGGGTATTTTCTCTGGGGCTCACGTTTGGGCCCTGTCATTGGGCTGTGGCTGTGAAAGGCCCGTAAGGCCAACAACTCGTACGCCTGGCTCAGCATGTTCATGGGATGCAGACCCAACCATCACTGTTGACATGGTGTCACTTGGCTGTGCAGAGGACACGGCCCGTAAGGCCAACAACTCGTACGCCTGGCTCAGCATGTTCATGGGATGCAGACCCAACCATCACTGTTGACATGGTGTCACTTGGCTGTGCAGAGGACACAGAGCAGCAGTGTGAACTGAGGAGAAGCTCTGAGAAGACTGCTAGGTCTCACAGTGCCACCGAGTAGTTCTTGACCTGCAGGGGCTCATGGCAGATGGCCTGTGTTGGGTGTGTGTGTGTGTCTTGTGTTTATACTGTGCCTGGATATAGGTGCTTCTGTGAGATGTGCAGGAACTCCGGTGAGATTTTGGAGATAAGACCAAAGGGTAGACTGTGGGTGAGTGGGAGTGAGGTGCAACAACCAGGCAAGTTACAGCAAAAACTCCACTCTAGGTACCAAAATACGTAATAGCTGGAGTTCACTAGAGAAACACAATCAATATAAAATATATGTTTAGTTATTTCATAGATTTATAAGGCAAGTTACAAGATCAGTAGGGGAGGAAGCACAAGAACTGCCCTTGGAATCAAAGGCAGAAAAATCGTATAAGACCTCACTTGTTGTACCAAGGCTAGGGGGTGGATTTAAAACTAGAAGTCAGCTTAATTCCAGCTGAATTGAATAGGGTGGTGTGGAGTATAGATGGCCCACCTGAGGACTGTTGCTAGCATAAAAAGAAGTAGAGAGGAAGAGCGTAGCGTGGTGGGTTCTCCTAAGTGTTGTTGTTAGGAGCTGTTGGTTTTCCTTCCTGGAGGAGCTAGTCGTGCTGGCTTTCCTGATACGAACTTGGCTGTTATCTTGGAGGAGCTCAGCACCTTATTACTGAGAATGGCTGCAGTTCACTTTGGAGGAGCTCTGGTCTTTACTTTGGAGCATCGCTTCCTGGTTCCAGAGGGGAAGATGTGTGCCATTTAACGTCCGGGAAAAGCTTGTCATACCAGCTTCTTTGGCTGGTCTCATCGTTGGAAGAGCTTGAGACCTCGTTGTTGCTGAGGATGGCTATGGTATTTTTTGGTGGGCCCTGGTCCTTATTTTGAGCGTCACTTCTTGGCTCCAATGTAGAACCCTTAACCTATTAGCGTAGATCTTTCACCCCGCCACATAGACCTCGTAGCTTTCACTGCTGACCTTTGGGCCTTCCCAGCACAGATCCATGGGATACACTTGCATGAGTCATTATTGTGGGCTCTAGGCCTCCAGTTGGACTAGTAGGAGGCATTGTCATTGGCTCTAGGTTTCCAGCTGAACTCATGCAGGTTATTGCCATGGGATCCAGTCCCCTGGCTGGATTTTGAAGGTCTTTAGAGTATGGACAGATTTCCTGCATTTCCTTTGTATTTGAATCCTTGAGTGACCCGTATAAGTAATACTATACATTACGTGTCTTGTTTTGTTCTCCTTGCAAACTGGAAAGTATAACATAGTGCAAAAGTGAACGACTTTGCTTTGAGAAGAGAGCCTCAGGGGTACTCTGCTCCAAAAGGAATTGCTCCTTAGGACTTGGTTCATAGCTGTTGAGTCACTTGGAGGCTGCTGTAGCCATGATTCGAGTGGTCTTGGTTACTACATGAGTTGACAGCAGACCTTGGCATCATTCATGTAGTGTTGGCTTTATGAGCATGTAGAATGCAAGAGTTAGGGGGGCATGGAGGCTTCCACCTAGATTTCAGAAGACCTAGGAGGCTGGGGAGTGTGCCCTTGAAGGGCCAGAGCATGAACCTGCAAGAGTGTAGCCGAAAGTGCAGTGGAGACCCCAGGAATTGAAGCCAGGAATGTGAAGTATCTGTGGAAAACCACAGGCACTGAGTAGAGCTGCCCCAAGGAAGAAGCCAGCAGGGGTGGGGCTACCAAGGTCATACGGTGTTTACAGATTTACCCAGGTGCTGGACATGGAACTATAAGATTTAATCCTTTTTCCTCTGTGATTTCTTGGTTTGCTGTGCTGAGTTTTGGTCTTGTTTCAGTCCCATTAGTTTCTCTGTCTCTGTTCCTGCATTTTGGAGTGAGAATGTTTACCTGTGCAATGTGGTGGAAGTGTGTGATGGAAGCTTTTTGGAGTGAGAATGTTTACCTGTGCAATGTGATGGAAGTGTGTGATGGAAGCGTTTAATCTTGTTGATTTTTACAGACCCTCACAGCTAAGAGCTGCCTTAAGTGTCAGGGAAGACTTGGGAATTGGACTTGTCAGCGCAGCAACTGTTAAAACTTTGGTGACTATTAGAGATGGACTGAATATGATTTGCATAAAGAAATGCACAAGTCCTTTGTGGGCCAGGGGCAGGATGTTAATGTACAGATCAGAAATGGCTCTAGGGCCTCATGGGTTTGGAAGGAAGTTGGATCCTCACTGTTTGGAGGTGGAGCCAGATGGAAAGAGATGGTCCCTGGGGTGTGGGCTGGTGGGAAGGGGTGTGGCTGGTGGGAGCAGGAGGTCTCTGGGGCATGGCCTGGAAGCATCCATTTCCTACCTGGTGCCTCCCTTTTCTCTGGTTCATGACCACCATATGTGAGCAGCTCTCCTCTGCCAGCCCCTCTGTCGTGCCTTCTAGCTGACCAACAATGGACTAAAAATGTGAGCCAAAATAAACTTTTCCTTTCAGTTGTGGGTGTTGGATATTGTTTCTCAGTGATGAGAAAGTGACTTAGACAGATTATAGCAGCAAAACTGGGGCTATGAGAATGAAGTGGTATCTTTGTAGTTGTTAATAGTATGAAAAAGCAATACTCTTCATTTTTATCATAAAATCCACTTAACTAAGTTTTTTTTGGCTGCTTATTATGTTCTGGTTACTGTCTAAAGTTTTTCTTTCTGTGTCTGTGACCTCAGGCCTTACCAAAACCTCAGAAGATGAGGATTACTGAGGTTTTAAAGGAGTAGGGAACAAATAAATCGGAACCTATAAAGAGCTCCTCCCGGTTCTTGTCTGACGCTGAGAAGTTTATATTTGTAATCCGGGGAGCAGTTACTGGAACGTAGTAAGTTAGTCCCCATCTCCCGGTATGTGAGTGCTATGAGCTGGGCTCTAGGCAGCTAGAGATCACCTCTGCAGTGTGCTGGGGAAGGGTGTGCAGAAAGACCAGTCTGTGTCACACAATTGAGGTAGCATCTGAGGTTTTGGGGCTGGTGTTTCAGTCCTGATGAGTAAACTTTTATGCCCTGGGAGATTACAGCCTCCTATCCAAAGGTTGGATCCCAGTGGACAGTGTGGATTCCAGTGGATAGTCTGTTCATCCAGCTGTTGTTTTTTGGGAATCACAGGTGGTGAAACAGCGACTATCACCTAGCTTCAAAGATTACACATCAGCATCTCAAGCAGCTCTGCGCACATCAGTGTGTGGAGACAGGGCCAGGGTTAGCCAAAGTGGAGACAGCTGCTCTGTATTCAAGGACGTGGTCCTTACAGAAGCCCTTACACAGAGCTCCACCTGCACACAGTCAGGAGAGAGACCCAGTGTCAGGCTGAGAGGCAGCAGTTTGCATTGATTTGGGGCTACAGGAGGAGGAGATGTGACTGGCTGGCTTAGCAGGTGAGGGTCGGGCACACCTGGAAAATGGTGGCCCTGTGGCGGAGCCTGCCAGTGCTTCTTGAGTTCTGCTGTGGGCTCCTTAGTAAATGTGGGGTCTTCTCAGTTTGGATCACTGTAGTAGAAGTGCAGTTTTCTCTCTGTAGCTGTTTTTCCCTGTTGTCACAGAAGAAGCTTGAGGCTGGGTGTGTGGGTGCCACAGACCTTTGGAGATGACTCGGGGCATGCTTTAGAGTGGATTTGAAGCGTCTTGCTGTTATCTTTTTGCCCTGCTTGGGTGCAGACTGGGTGTGAGGCTGGGTGCCTGTGTCTGTCAGAGTGTGGGCCTTGTCACAGGTGTGTGACTGGGCTGGGTATCCCCCCCCCCCCCCCGCAAAGCCCCTGCTTGCTGAGTGTGGACCGTGTTATCCTGTGCACCACAGCAAAAGAAACAAAAAGGTGTTCTTTGTAGACAACCATGCTTAATTTATAGTTTTTATACCGAAAATTGAGACTTAAGTGAGGAAAACTGGAGATTTTTCCATTTTTTTAAAATGAAAGAAGTGATACCATATTTGCTCATATTAGTGAGTGGTTAATAGAGTTCTTTATGTGGCAGGGAACCCAGAGCATAATGTATTTGAGGAGTAATTTCCCATCACACTGTCCTCTGGTTCCCTGGATGTGTCATAGAGAGGGTCAGGTCAGCTGTGTTCAGAACCTG